TTTTCTTTATATTTGTCTATATTTTCTACAGTTGGTAAAGATGACTTGACAGAAGGACTAAAATATTTTTATTCTGTTTTTTAAAGGGATATTTTTCATATATTGTTTGCCTCTCAAACAACTCAGTAATATATGTTTTAATGTTTATTTTATTTTTTAAAATAGTTACTTTTTAGTTGTAGATGGACACAATACTTTTATTTTATTTTAATATGGTACTGAGGTTTGAACCCAGTGCCTCACATATGGTAGGCCAGCACTCTACCACTGAGCCACAAAATCAACAAATCAACTGAGCCTCCAGCCCCAATGACCGATATAGTGATATTGTCAATCACAAGACAGGAGGCAGCAGTATTCTGTTTGAGAAGCAGTAAAGCTCTGGAGTCAGACTTGGGTTTGTATCTATCCTAACACTAATTAGCTATATCTAGGATAATCTCTCTGTATACCAGTTTCCTCTGTAGTAAATTAGTGATGAAAAAAGATTACCTACAAATCAAGAATCAATAAATGATTGATTAAAAAGTTTCTTCTCAGCACATAAAACAATCAGTGAGGTGAATAGAGAGCCTACAGTTTGGGAGCAAGTTTTTACCCCTCACACATCAGAGCACTAATCTCTAGGGTGTATAAAGAACTCAAAAAGCTAAACACCAAAAAACAAATAACCCAATCAATAAATGGGCCAAAGACCTGAACACATACTTCTCAGAAGATGATATATAATCAATCAACAAATATATGAAAATGTTCATCATCTCTAGCAATTAAGAGAAATCAAAACTATTCTAAGATTTCATCTCACTCCAGTCAGAATGGCAGCTATTAAGAATACAAACAACAGTAAGTGTTGGTGAGGATGTGGGGAAAAGGGCACACTCATACATTGCTGGTGGGACTACAAATTGGTACAGCCAATGTGGAAAGCAGTATGAAGATTCCTTGGAAAACTGGAAATGGAACCACCATTTGACCCAGCTATCCCTCTCCTTGATCTATACCTAACCTAAAGGACTTAAAAACAGCATACTACAGGGACACAGCCACATCAACATTTATAGCCACAATTCGCAACAGCTAAATTGTGGAACCAACCTAGATGCCCTTCAATAGATGAATGGATAAATAAAATGTGGTATATATGCACAATGGAATATTGCTCAGCAATAATAGAGAATAAAATCATGGCATTTGCAGGTAAATGGATGGAGTTGGAGAATATAATGCTAAGTGAAGTTAGCCAATCACAAAAAAAACAAATGCCAAATGTTTTCTCTAATATAAGGAGGCTGACTCATAGGTGGGGTAGGGAAGGGGGTCATGGGAGGAAGAGAGGAACTCTAGATAGGGCAGAGGGGTGGGAGGGGAAGGGAGGGGCATGGGACTAGAAATGATGGTGGAATGAGATGGACATTATCCAAAGTACATGTATGAAGACACAAATGTTGTGAATATACTTTGTATTCAACCAGAGATATGAAAAATTGTGCTTTATATGTGTAGTATGAATTGTAGTGCATTCTGCTGTCCTGTATAACAAATTAGAATAAAAAAATTTTAAAAAGATTACCTACATCATAGAGTTGTGAGGATTAAATGCATAACTACATGTGACACAGTACCTGGTACATAATAAGCTTTGAATAAGTGTTAGCTATTTTTGTTATTATTGACAGTAACAGAATGGGAAATCCCCAGAATAATGCTTGGCAGAAGACCATCTCATAATGTGCTTGATTGACCCTCACTTGGCATTCCTAAATGTGAGACAAGGTGTGACTTTTGTTGTCAGTTTAGGGTTGGTTATAACTAGTTTACTTCTGAATGGGTGTCTCCCCACCTCTTGGATACTTTCTCATCACAAAGTGATTCCATGATGCCTGGGCTGTTATGGACTACACAGAAAGGCTTACTCAAAGCTTGGTTTTTCCAGAGAATCTATGAACATTTCATTCAGATGTGTTTTCTTTCTTTCTTTTTTAAAGTTTCTTCTTCCCTTTATTTAGAATATTTGTCTTTTTTTTTTTTTTGGTATAGAGGATTGAACCCAGTAATATTCTACCTCTAAACTACATTCCAAACCTTTTTATTTTTTATTTTGAGACAAGATTTTGCTAAGCAGCCAAGGCTGGCATTGAACTTGTTATCCTCCTACTTCAGCTTCCCAAGTAGCTGGGATTATAGGCATGCAGCACTGTATCCAGCTAAGATGATTGTTTTTTAAGAGAAGTTTTTGTTGTTGTTCTAATTAGTTATACATGACTGTAGAATGCATTTTGACACATCATACATAAATGGAGTGAGTACAACTTCTCACTCTTCTAGTTGTACACGATGTAGAATCACACCAGTCATGTAATCATACAGTCACATGTTTTCTGTTAGAAACAGAACATTAATCAAAGCAGGTAATCTGGAGTTTACAGTCCAGCTTAAGCCTGCAGTTTTAAACTCACAACCATTTTCTTCAGAGGTTCATTTAAAAAATACTTGGGCTAGGAGTATAGCTCAGTGGTAGAACACATGATTAGCATGCATGAGCCTCTGGGTTCAGTCCCCAGCTCCAAAAACAAAAAACCCCAAACTGAAACATATTCAACAAAGCATAAAAGTAAGTTTCTTTTAGAAAGGGGAAGTGTCTTTTTTTCTGTGGTTTGCTCCAGGTGGTAACCACATGACACAGCATTGACAGAGCCCCTCTTTCTTCTCTTCATAAAGATACATAGTTTGGGCACTGATAACTTTCTCTTAGGAGCACTGTTTCTGAGTTCTTTATTTTTGGAATTCTCTGTATTTCTTACTTTGTTCTTTTGACATCAGGCAAAGATGTAGAAATAAATGTGCATCAAACAAGCAAAGCACAGGAAAAGAATGCAGTTGAGTCCTGTGTTTCCTGTTTCTCATTTGCTCATGGGAGCAGTGAGTCCTGGTCCACACAGCTTCATCTTCCTGCTAACCTTGCATATCCTTGAGTTTTAGTTTCTTTTTTACTTTTAACAGTGAGTTTTAACTGACATCTCACATACCTGAAATATATCAGGAATTTGACTTTGTTTCTTACTTAAACTATTATAATGTGGTAGAATTTTGGGTCTGAAGCTGGAGGGAAGGAGAAAAGGGAAATCACATTTATAAAAATGCTTGTCCTCCCTCATTCAATTCATCACATCTTTCTTGAGGTCTTACTCTGAGCCAGGTATAGTGAGAGGCACTATCTAGTGGTTCAAAGATGTGGGTGCTGGAGACAGTTGTCTGGGTTTGAATCTCAACCTTACTAGTTAGCATCTGTGAAACCTCAGTGCCTTCTTATTTCATTTGCTTGTGCTGTAATTTAGAAATGTCAAGTGTCTACCCCATAGTTGTGATATTAGATGACTTTATATCCAGTGAGATGATGATGATGCTGCTGATGCTGATGATGATAATAAGTTGGGATCAGGGTGCAGTCTGCTTCATTACCCTCATGCTGCACAGTCATGAATGTGTCAGTAGTACTGAGGTGCTTATGGATGGGGATGAAATATGAGACAAGCAGTTAATAGTAAAGTGTGGTGGGTATTATCATAGGAGATGAAGAGGGTGTCAGGAGAACCTTCATATGGGGCCCAAGCTGCTCCCTGTCAAGTTAGAGAGGTAACTAGAGAAAGGGATGTTTCAGCTGAGACCTAAAGGGGAAGTAAAAGTTATCTGGACTAGGTGAGGGGATGGGAAATTAGGTCATGTGTTCTGGGCAGATGTATGTGTGAACATCTGAAGAGAAAATCAATCCCACAGTATTTAAGGAAGAGAAGAAATCCAGTGAGCTTCAAGTGTGGGTTATAAGGAGGCTGGTGAGAGATGAGGCCGGAAGTGAAGGAGGAAACCAGCTGATGGAAAACTTGTGAGTCAAGAAAAGGAGTTTGGATGACTAAGGGCCTGGTCCTGTCCTTGCTATTTCCATTCATTTCTTCACGCATCACTATTCTGTTATAAGTGATATAAGCTTCATTTTGTTAATAGGGAAGTTGAAGCTCTGGAAAATTGTCACTTAGAAAGCACAGGCAGGATTTGAACCTGGGTCTCTTCAGCTCCAAAGTTTTTTTGATGACACACATGCTCTTGGAACTTGAAGTCTGGTTGTTTTATGATTTCGGGCCCCCTTGGTTTTCCTTAATCTCAGTTTGCTCAGGTAATATACCTTAACACTGTATATTACCTGAGAATTCAGTCTCTGGACTGTAGAAACAAATGGAAATATACATAAAGGGCCACATAGTGCCAGACATATGGCCAGCACAAAGCACACTGCTTATGGACTCAGATTCTTACACCAAGAAAGATTTTCCTCCACAATTTAAGTGAACTGAGAACCCTATGAGCGGCCACCTGGGTGTTGGCTTGGTTGCCAGTCATCTTATCAAGAGCTAGTTAAGTCCACTGGATACCACTTTTGTATGCAGCGGATTTACTTCCCTAGCAATATTTGACAGGTTCAACCCCTGGGGCTCTTTTCTCTGCCTGCAGCCATTTGAGCTTTAGTTCCTGGTAGGAGTGACCTTGAGGCTTCTCAACTCTCTCAAGCACCCCAGGGGCTCATTGTCTATCCTTTGCCTCTCCCTCTAGAGTCTACTGGACCTATTCTATGATTTATTTAACTTTTTTGTTGTTAACTTTCCTTGGTTGGTTTTGAGGTGGCTCACCTCCCAGGTGATAGAGTACTATAGAAACAATAAGTAACTTGCTTTCACCAGGATAGGGTACCAAGGCTCTTACAGAGGTTGTTTTTAAAATCTTAAAAAAATGTCCTCTCAAGTAGACAGTTTACAGTATTCTTTTCAGCACAGTTGGAGAAACTAAGGCCTATACTTAAACAATATGCCCATTATTTTTTCCTTCTATAGAGTAAAAATTTATGAAGGGTAACTCGGTCCCAGAGGGTGGGAATATAGAATTGAAAGACATAATCACTTCCCTCAAGGATGAGACAGATATTTGAATAACTGTGTATAGGAAGTGAAGTCTTAGGACAGAAGACTGGTGGAAGTGGTTTGCCTTATTTAAGTAAGATTAGTAAAAAATTCAGAGAGAAATAGCTATTTGCATTGGGCCTTGAAGGGCTTCATAATGTTGAAGGGAAGGCATCCCGACAGGGGAAACTCATAAATGCCAAAGCCCAGAAGAATGAAAAGATGGGCACTTCAGGGTCCCTTTAGCATCTGTGTGGTTGGAGAAAGTATATAGGAATGAGGTGGGGATCAGAGGACACTGGTAAGACCCCCAGGACTTGAAGGAGACCAAAAGGGTCCTTCACAGTTATAGTCCCTTCAGTCTCCTAGCTGCTCGTCCTTTTTTCCAGAGCCATGCACAATACATAAACATCCTTAAAGTTCTGGATGGACTCTCCTTTGTCCCTGTTTCTCTGCACCACTCCCTACTTGCCTGGTGATGTTTCTCTTATACTGAAAGAAAATGGATCTTATCACTGAGGACTTGTGACCTGACTGCTTGGAGGAATAAAGGTTACCAGGTGAAAGGACATCTGTCATTACTTTCTGTGGCATGACGTAGCTGGGAGGAATGAAGTCTATCTGTGACTAGACACCTGTGTTCCTCTCTCATTGGCAGGGTCACCAGAGGGGAACATTAAATTGCTCTTCAAATGAGTCAGTTTTCTTATTCCTGAGGAGAAGGGGCTGGTGCACCTTGGGTTCTCTGGGCCTTTCTCACTCTTGCCTGTATTTGCCTTGCAGCTGTGTAAATGAGTATGGAAGATTATGATTTCCTGTTCAAAATTGTTTTAATTGGCAACGCTGGTGTGGGGAAGACGTGCCTAGTCCGACGGTTCACTCAGGTAAGAGCACTCAGAAGCCCAGAGTGGGTTTTATCTGTCTAGCCTGACTTAGAGGAATCTTATGGATTGGGTGCCTGGTCCCAGGGCCAGCCTCTAGGCTGTGCATTCTTAACACACCCTTTGAAAGTGGTATCAGTTTTGTAGCCTAGGCTTTTTCTAAATCCCCTCAAGGGAGCTTTGCTGTGGGGGTCAATACCAACTCTCCCACACCTCTTTTTGTTTCCTTATATGAAAGGAGCAAGTGGTTTTGTTTTCAGTATGAAGTTTCAAAATTTATTGGATAAAAAATAGATTAGTTCTTAATAATCCAAAGGTGGAAATAAATTAATGCAAATTAAACCTCAAACTCCCTGCCTATGCCTCATTTCCTCCCAAGAAACTGTGTGAATCATTTTGGTTTAGAACCAAATATGCTGATTTTTCTAAACCTTATAAATGGGGATGAGATGAGAACAGTGAAGAACTCTCTGAACTGAATGTCCTTTCTGGTTTGAAGCCTTATCATATGACCTAAGTACAAGTTTCCTTTGGGGATGCCTTCTTGAAACTCACTAGCCAAGATTACATTCTGTTTTAAATTTGAAAATCAGAAATCATTCTAAAGTTGGCCTTTTGTGTTTTCCTATGAAAAGGAGAATGAAGCCTTTTTCTGGGCTATCATGCATTCAGCTTGTATTTTGCTAAAGTACACATTGGGAAAGTTAAGACTACCTCCTCTAAGGTCTAGGGCAACATGGTGCCATGGAAAGAGCACTGCTCATGCTGAAACACAGGTCCTTGTCCTAGTTCCTCCCCTTCCCAGGTCTCCCAGCTCTACATGAGGGAGCCCAATAAACTCTAAGGCCCCTTTCAGCTCTGAAGTCTGTGGAAAACTAGAGAGGCAGATTGGATAACACAAACAGCTTTATGGCTCAGAGTCACTTTGGAAATGTCAGGGTTTTTCCCATGATAAGAAACACAGAAAATAACTCATGCTTTTTACTAAGCCTTGGCCTGTGAAATCAAAAGCAAAAAGCTAACAGGCATCTGGGGCTCAGTTAACCACCTTGGAGATACATTGAAACTCCAACTGGTTTTACATCTGTCTAACATTAGTAATCTTTTCTGCTTTTAAGAGAAGAACAAGACTGTGGAACTGCAAAGATACAGATAAACTTTCAATCCCTTTATCAAAAGTTCCCTTGACCTTGTTTCATTACTGAAAGGTCAGAGATTCAATTCAGTCCTCTCATTTTACAGATGAAAACCTTAGATGTAGAGGGAGTGAATGACATGCTTATGATCTCACATCATACTAGTGACAAGAATGGGATTAGAATTTGGGTCTCTTAGTTCTCAGCCTGATATTTCTATGTCCTGTGGGTTCTAACCTCTGAGATCATTCTCTTTAAAAACACAAACCCTATCATTGAAGGTGAAAATGCTTTCCTTCTTGAACAATAATTTTTACCAACAAGCACATTTTTCTTTTCTGTCTACTTATTATCCACCCAGTCCCTCAACTACCCCCAAAGTTCATATTTCATAGACAAGCTTGTTTGTTATTTAGTAAGCAGTTAAAATGAATTGGATTCAGCTGTTTTTGAGACATGAAGGGTTAGGAAACAAAGTGGTGGGGAAAAGCACTGGGAAGGATTTTTTTTTTGGCATTTGTTAGGCTGCAAAACAGCTGGAGCTATAAACTTGAAGCTTGGCAACCTTGTATCTGAGCCAAGCTAAAGTAGAAGAAAATTGATTCAATATTTGTAAGTAAAGTTATGAATGTTTATATTTACATTTTTTTGCAGAAACGCAATGGAACATTTTCTTTTGGTTTGAAACTCAGCCTTTTAAGTTCAAACTTTAATTAAGGAGCTCTTGTCAGGAAATGGACTTAATTAGAGATTCCCTAGTCTTAGATGTCAGAGCTAATAAAGTCCATTTTGCTTTAATTTCTGGACATTCTAGAATATGGATGAATAAGCGGGGAGAGACTAGATATAGAGTTCTTTCCTGATAGAATTCCTTGCTACCCACAACTTCCTCTCTAAGCTTACAGGAAATATTATACAATAGTAAATTACATTATGCATGTAATTTTGCTAATATCCTATCCTCTGGAAACTGCTAATATCCTATCCTCTGGAAACTGCTATATTTCCAGTTTGAGGTAAAGCTCATCAGATTCAAGGCCCTGAGACGGAGGGTGGTTGGTCTGAGGTCACCTGGAGATCCTAAGTCTGCTGCCTCCTGGTTTAATGGTTTATATCTTTCCCATCCCCATTCCCCTTCCTTTTATTCCCCTTTGTCTAATGCAATGAATTTCTAGTCTTCTCCCCCTGCCTTATTGTATGTTTCCGTATATCAGAAAGAACATTTGGCCTTGTTTTTTTTGGGATTGGCTTATTTCACTTTGCAAGATAGTCTCCACTTCTGTCTATTTACTATAATTTCATTCTTCTTTATATAACTGAACATTAGTTAGTCATATATATATATATATATATATATGAATATTTTCTTTGTCCATTCATCTGTTGAAGGGCATCTAGGTTGGTTCCACAGCTTAGCTATTGTGAATTGAGCTGCTATAAACATTGATGTGGCTGTATCACTACAGTATGCTATTTTAAGTCCTTTGGATATATACCAAGGAGTGGGGTAATTGGATCAAATTTTCTGAGGAATCTCCATAATCCTTTCCAGAGTAGTTGCACCAATTTGTAGTCCCACCAGCAATATATGAATATAAGTTTTCCCCCCACATCCTTGTCAATATTTATTGTTACTTGTTTTCTTGATAATTGCCATTCTGCCTGGAGTGAGGTGAAATCTCAGTGTAGTTTTAATTTGCATTTCTCTAATTGCTAGAGATGTTGAACATTTTTTTCATATATTTGTTGACCAATCATGATAACTAGTTTTGAGCTTCCTTGATTTTGCCTATTCATTTCTCCCCATTCTAACAATCTTAGTCTCATTCCAGTGGCTCCCTGGATTTTTCTTTTTCTTTATTAAAATCAGGTTTCCCCCACTGCCTTTTCCTGATTCTCCCCCTTCACCCTCTGTCAACCCATTTCTTTGATCCACCTTCTGTTTCTGCTTCTGTCAGGATTTCTGTATCCCAAGTTCTCCCTTCTCCCTTCCTCTTAAAACATACATACAATGTTAAATTAAACAGGGCTTCCATGAGACCAGCCGACATTCTTTTTTCTACCAATTAGCTCAACCAAAGGAGAGCCTGGTACTGGTAATATGAAATGTAAGAAGTATTTCATTTACCTGAAGGATGGGCATAACTGTTGTTTCAATTATTTGTTCTTTAGGGTCTTTTCCCCCCAGGTCAAGGAGCAACAATTGGAGTTGATTTTATGATTAAGACAGTGGAGATTAATGGTGAAAAAGTAAAGGTAAGAAGCTAAATGTTCAACTTGTCTTTTGTGTGCTGTGTGTAAGCTTAGGGGAAGTTGTGTAGTCATGTTTTTATAACATTTATTAAATCTCCCAAAAGCCAGGTGTGATGATACATGCCTGTAATTCCAGCTACTTGGGAGGCTAAGGCAGGAGGATTAGCAATTTAGCAAAACCTATTTCTAAATTAAAAAAAAAAAAAGCCTGGGGATGTAGCTCAGTAGTAAAGTACCTGTGGGTTTTATCCGCAGTGGGGGAAAAATCTGATTGAAACCGACATTGAAAACAGTATATTCAGCTATGACACTTATTTCTAGTCCCTTTGTGGGAGGAGGAAGGGATTTTAGATGATATTTTTACAGATTAGAACAGAAAAAAGGGCTAAAGCAAGTTTGTCCTATCTTCTGTCATATCAGAAGTGATATAACAACAAGAAATTTCTTTTTGGATTTCATGAGTTGAACCAATAAACTATGCTGCCTCCTATAATAGCAGGTCCATGAAAAATTTCATTTTAGGTAATGAAGCCATATTAGTCGCTTATTAAAAACTATCCTATCTCCCATGAGGGGTTCAAGAAAGAATCCATGATCTCTACCCTATTCTCTATTTGGTGACTTCTGGGTAGCTTGATATACCTGAAAGAAGTATGGTATTTCCAGTAACAGGAGAAGAGAGATTGTGTTCTTGAGTACCTATTATGTGCCGGTGCTTTTGCTAGGTGCTTTTACATGTGTTTTTATAGTTACCTTAATTTTTACTATAAATTCTGTGAGGTAAGTGGCATCATTCTTGTTTTACAGACTTCAAAAAAAGATAGGTGACTTACTTATGCATGGCTGTCTAGTCAGGAAGGGAAATGGAGGATTTGAACCTGTTCTGCCTCCCTGCCATCTCCCCTGTTATGGGATAAGAGGGGAATGAAGCTACAAAAGGCTCATCACCTTGGAGCAAGGAAAGGAAGGTGATGGAAATAAATATGAAATGAGACTAAATTACATGAAAAGAGGATAAAGATATTGATCTTAGGCACTGTGTTCTACCTGCCATTCATTTATCGAAATTCCATTATCAGGTTTTTTAGAGGTGAGTCCCATGGAAGGAAGTAATAAATCCAGCCATAAGCAGCTCAATGATGAAAGCTGGCATCAGACTTCTAGCTAGATCCCAACCTAAGCATTCCAAATTTGGGTCCATGTTATTTGCATCCACCTCCTCCATTTGAGAGCCTTGGGAAGGGCATAGAAGGTCCATAATGTTTTTGCAGCATTTCATAGATACTTGCCATCACAAATAATTTATAGGCTGAGGCCTCTGAGTGTATAACAGAAGCTTTCCTGGTATGTCTTCCAGCCCTGAATCAAAATGGGTCTTCACTGCAGAAACATCTACAAATACAATAGTGAATGGAGAGCTCAGGGTGCTGGAAGATAACTGGAAGGTGTGAAATCCATGTAAATGCCAACCAGAAAGTCAGGAAAATAGTGTTTGGGGTGAGAAGAAGGAACTAGGGTGTGGGGACAGGAATGAGACAGGAGTGTGCTCTAGAGGCATTAGTGGAAAGAGCCTTTTATTGCTTTCTATTGTTCCAGCAGAGATGGGGTAGTTGCCAACTGGAGTCATGTAAGGATAACTACTGTTTCATGCATTTTACTTCCAGATGTCTGAGTTTCCCATTTATACATTGTATACGTGAGTTCATTTGTTTGACCATAGTACCTACCTATGGCAAACACTGGGCAGAAATAAGGGTGAATAAGAAATGGTCCCTAGGGTTAAAGAAGCAGCTTATTTTTGTCCCCCCTACATCTCTAGGCTTAGGTATTCCATTTATTCTACTTTCTGAAAACCATAGCCTCATTTTTAAGAGCTTACTACATTTCTAGAGTTCATCATTTTATGGTGACTGACTCCACCACAAGACCACAGGTTCCCTAAGAACAAGGTTTGTGTCTTATTCATCTTTGTATTTAAAGGGCAGTTCCTGTCCCTAATACTTCTTTCAGGGTTCTGTAACTTTATAAAAAAAATGAGAGTAGGCTAATCCTCTAAATCCAGGTCAAATCAATTAAATTTTTTTTTAGTTGTAAATGGACACAATACCTTTATTTTATTTATTTATTTTTATGTGGTGCTGAGGATCGAACCCAGTGCCTCACACATGCAGGGCAAGCACTCCGCCACTGGACTACAGCCCCAGCCCTCAAATCAATCCTCCTGTGATTTTTTTCTAACCCAGTATATTGACTCAAGATATGAAATCACTACATTCATTCTTATTAATTCAAGGGCCTCATTAATGTGTGGATATAGGAGAAATAACCTGTTATTAGAAGGAAACAGTGTCTGTCTTATTGTCATACTTGTTGACATTTATTGAGTCCCTCTTCTTGGTGATGTTTTAGTGTCTTTTTGCTAGTACTTTGTAGGCTTTCTCAGAACCCTGTAAAATCAGTGGAAAAGAAAATTCACTATCAGTTGGTGCAGCATCACCCACTCAGCAAGTGGCAGGACCGTGAATCAGGTTCTCTCTTCTGACTTCAGCCCCCTTGTCCCTCCGTATTAGTACCAGTCTTTCAGGAATGGCTTCCAGACTGAAAGTGGGAAATAGGAGGTATTAGAAATATTCTTGTAGCTACTGAGAATACATGCTAAATCACTGGAGGTAAAGTTAAGGAAGAGGCCCTTCTTTTAAAGTAGAATGTATCACGAAAGTGACCTCAGGAAGAAAATAGAATTAAAACATTTGTAGCTCACTGACATGGGTACTTAAAAATGGCTAAAATGATAAATTTTCTTTTGTATATTTAAGCATAATAAAAAATTGGAATACAGAGTTTTCTCTTATACATTGAATTTTTTTGCTTATTATAAATTAATGAGTAGTAAGCAAAACTCTAAGCTTTGTTTAAAACGTTTAAACCTTGGTTATGATAGAAAATTTGCTATATTTCTCTTTAATTAGATCTATATTGCATAGATAGGCAACTCATAAAAGTATTGATTCCTTCAGCTCCTCGTCCATCCACCCATGTTATAGTATGTGCTTTATGCTTAGCACTATGGTAGGTAAATCTTTGTCCACTAAAAACTTACTATCATCTGGCTCTGATAACATTTTATTTGTGGAATCTTCTTTTATATCCCACCAATCTTTTAAGGAGAATTAATGAATCCCTCCTTTGTGATTCCACAAACCTTCGTTCATTTAGTTAATCTTCATTCAAATGTGTCCCCCTCTACTGTTTTAGGAAGGCACTTGGGGGTATGAGGTCAAATGGGAAATACCCTTGGTCCTCAAAGAACTCAGTCTAGTAAGGGAGACAGACTAGTAAACCAAGGACAACATTGCATTATTGTGACAGTGAGACAGTAGAGGTTAAGTGGTATGCAAGGAAGAGTAGACAGTGGAGCAGACCCATGCTAGAGGTGAGTGGTTAGAAAATCCATGGCTGCAATACTGAAAATATATTGACAGGCATGAGACTAACATTAGGAGAAACCATCTTTCTGGTACCTTTATAATGGAACATATCACATTGTATGTTAGTTAATTAACTATGGATTTGGCTTCTTTATAGACTGAGCTATTTGAGATGGGGGTTGTGTTTTATCTTGTATCCTCCTGTGCCTAATGCAGTGCCCTGCCTAGGTTAATGTCCTGTAAATGCTGAAATAAGGCAAGTGGATTGCAGAGATGAAACCAAGTTGAGTGATAAAGACAGTGAGAGTATGAACACCCTTAATAATCAACTATCAGGCTAGAAGTAGGGAGCCCCCTTTGAGAAAATAACATATATCTTGGCAAGGTCATAAAATCATTATTCCAGAAAAATGCTCAAAGCTGTTCCCAAGATGTGCCAGTCATGAGAACATACTGATTTCTTAAGACTGACAGCATCTAAATCCAATCACAAGTGTTTTAGAGGCTCATTGTAGCTTTAAAACAATTGTCTGCTATTCTAAGTACATCCTAGCAGAAAGGAACCATATCCCTAGGTTTGAGGCAGAGAAGAGAAATAACTTTGTCCCAACAAAAACTAACTCCATCTGTATGTTTGCCTTTAGCTTACACAGACTTTCATGTATATCAAAGAGTAGCTGTCACTTCAAATCAAAGGAGAGTCTGTGCTGAAGATTACTACTAGACAGAGACTACTAGTCACCCATCTGTCTCACCGACTTTGGGGGCTGGGGATGTAGCTCAAGCAGTAGTGCGCTTGCCTGGCATGCGTGCGGCCCGGGTTCGATCCTCAGCACCACATACAAACAAAGATGTTGTGTCCGCCAAAAACTAAAAAATAAATATTAAAAATTCTCTC